CAACTTGAAATGTGCCAAACATATCGGGAGAACTAAGCTTTTTTCTATTTTTTAAAATTTATTTAACAATACTCAGGATTTATTTTTCTACTCAAACAGGGGTGAAAAGGTACTAATTTTTCCCCTATTTTAAATTTTATGATACAATTCCATAGGCTATGGGATTTCCCTTACCCCCTCCCCAAATTCCCTCCCTCCCAACTTATTTCCCCCATATTATCACATTAGTAGAGTCTTTTATAAGCAGTCATAAGTTCATCATTCTGTTAATTTAAGTGTGTCCAGACATTGTCAATAGACAATGGCAGACAGTCCAGCATCCTACTATAATAGTAGGATGCTATTTAGTAGGATGCAGTAGCCTAGCAGCTGAAATCCTCGCCTTGTACATGCTGGGATCCCATATGGGTGCTGGTTCATGTCCCGGCAGCACCACTTCCCATCCATCCCCTGCTTGTGGCCTGGGAAAGCAGTCGAGAATGGCCTTGATACCCTGCATTCGCTTGGAAGACTCAGAAGAAACTCCTGGCTCCTGACTTTGGACTGGCTCAGCTCCGGTCATTGTGGCCACTTGGGGAGTGAAGCAGTATATGGAAGATTCTCTCTGTCTCTTCTCCTCTCTGTACATCTGACTTTCCAATGAAAATAAACAAATATTATATATATAGATAGATAGATAGATACATCTAACAGTTTCGTTGGGAGTCCATCTTTGATTTGGAAGCAGAGATGCATACTATACTATATCTTCACATCTGGATATGATAGTCTCTATTATAAATTAAGAACTGATAATGAAATTTAACATTCACTTTAATATCCAAATTAAAATGTGCTGCAAGTATAAAATATATTTGGGACACCCACAATCCACCCTGGAAGGCTGGTTCTAGTCCTGGCTCCTGCAATTCCAACTCACTTTCCTGTTAACACACACATAGGGAAGCAGCAGGTAATGGCTCCAGCATCCCTGTTACCCACATGGGAGATTCAGATGGAGTTACAGACACCTAACTCAGCCTTGGCTACTAGGGGGCATTTGGAGAACAATTCGGTGGATGGAAGATCTCTCTCTGACTTTCAAATAAAACAAAACTATTTTAAGTACTTTATCTCTGTTTATAAAAGCTTTCCTATTGTAATAATTCCTAAGAAGCTGCTATCCTCTGAATTTCTGGGACATTTACCACCTGCAGCACTCATTTCAGCACTTAATCATTCACCTCCTATTATTGCCATTTAATTTAGGGGGTGGTTTATTCCTTAGGTTAGACTAGAAGACCCCAGGCTAAAGGCATCCCTGATTTCCATTCTGTGTACTTCAACAGAGGCTCCTGGTCCCCTAAGATGATACCAACATCTGACACTACGCAGCTTCAGAGGGATGGAGAGACCTCTTCCTTTAGCACCTTAAAGACACAAGCTAAAGCCAGGGAAAAGTCAACCAAACTCCAACCAGTGTTCCAGTCAATAGCTCTGACAGATGTAGTGAACACTATCAGAAAAAAACACAGCAAGACATTGAAGGTTTCACAAATTCCACTGAACATCAAACAGAACATGTCTAATTCTCTCAGATTGTCACTGCCAGAGATAACTTTTGCAGCCTAGCATTGGGAAATTTCAACTAAGGAAAAACCACTCTGATTTTAATTCTTTCCAATAAGTGACACATTTTTTTCAGTCAGGAAGTGATGTATAACCAGAAGTTATACTCTGCATTTTTCCAACATAACAAAGTGAGTGAAGACCAATCTTCAATGAAATTGTTAAGTGTTCAATATTCTACTATCTCATAGATAATAAAGTATCCCACATAAAATGCATTAAATCATGACACCCATACAACCAGTGGGTTACCATGGCAGAACCAGGAGGTTGGCAGCAGCTGGCAGAAGGCAAAGGGCCGTTCATGCTTGTTAGCAATGACCCAGACCCAGGCAGTCATCAGGTTTCTAATGTCTGTCTGACAATTACAACAGGAAGCTCGTCAGTTATTAGAAATAAAATACACAGACCTGGTGTGTCCCTAAACCCTTATCTTGCAAGCGCCAGGATGCCATATGGGCATTAGTTTGTGTCCTGGCTACTCCACTTCCCTTCCAGCTCCCTGTTCCTGGCCTGGGAAAGCAAGGAGGAAAACCCAAGCTTTAGGACCCTGATCCATGGGGGAGACCTGAAAGAAACTCCTGGCTCTGAGTTTTAGATCGGCTCAGGTCTGGCCATTGCAGCCACTTGGGGAATGAACAAGCTCTTTCCTTCACTAGGTAAATTTTCCTTTCCAATAGAAATAATACTTAAAAATAAAAGGATCAGGGGAATGTATAACGGCCAAAGCTGCTGCAGCACCGGCAACCCACACAGGAGGCCTGGTTCAGATCCCTGTCCAACTCCAACTCAGATGCAGCCCACCTCTATCTCAACGCCTGCTGCCCCCATCCAGCTTAATTCAGCAGTGCTCGCCCTGTGCCCACTTCTACCTCAGCACTGACCAGCCTGTGACACCTTACCCAGGAACCCCTGCCGGCACCCACCTCTACCTCAGCATCCCCTGCCCGCGCCCACCTCTACCTCAGCACCCTTTCCTGCACCCACCTTACCTCAGAACCCCGGGCCCAAGCCCACCTCTACCTCAGTACACCTGCCCGCCTGTACCCGCTCCCACTTCTATCTCAGTACCCCCGCCCGCGCCCACCTCTACCTCAGCACCCCTGCCCAAGCCCACCTCTACCTCAGCACCCCGGCCCAAGCCCACCTCTACCTCACCACCTCTGCCCAAGCCCACCTCTACCTCAGCACCCCTGCCCGTGCCCACCTCTACCTCAGCACCCCTGCCCGTGCCCACCTCTACCTCACCACCCCTGCCCGCGCCCACCTCTACCTCAGCACCCCCGGCCCACCTCTACCTCAGCACCCCTGCCCGCCTGTACCTGCTCCCACTTCTATCTCAGTACCCCCGCCCCGCGCCCACCAATACCTCAGCACCCCTGCCCGCGCCCACCTCTACCTCAGCACCCCTGCCCGCGCCCACCTCTACCTCAGCACCCCTGCCCGTGCCCACCTCTACCTCAGCACCCCCGGCCCGCACTCACCTCTACCTCAGCACCCCTGCCCGCGCCCACCTCTACCTCAGCACCCCTGCCCGCGCCCACCTCTACCTCAGCACCCCTGCCCGCGCCCACCTCTACCTCAGCACCCCTGCCCGCGCCCACCTCTACCTCAGCACCCCTGCCCGTGCCCACCTCTACCTCAGCACCCCTGCCCGCCCACCTCTACCTCAGCACCCCTGCCCGCGCCCACCTCTACCTCAGCACCCCGGGCCCAAGCCCACCTCTACCTCAGCACCCCCGGCCCACCTCTACCTCAGCACCCCCGCCCTTGCCCACCTCTACCTCAGCACCCCGGCCCACGCCCACCTCTACCTCAGCACCCCTGCCCGCGCCCACCTCTACCTCAGCACCCCTGCCCGTGCCCACCTCTACCTCAGCACCCCTGCCCGCACCCACCTCTACCTCAGCACCCCTGCCCGCGCCCACCTCTACCTCAGCACCCCGGGCCCAAGCCCACCTCTACCTCAGCACCCCCGGCCCACCTCTACCTCAGCACCCCGGCCCACGCCCACCTCTACCTCAGCACCCCTGCCCACGCCCACCTCTACCTCAGCACCCCTGCCCGCGCCCACCTCTACCTCAGCACCCCCCCCCCGTGCCCACCTCTACCTCAGCACCCCTGCCCGCGCCCACCTCTACCTCAGCACCCCTGCCCAAGCCCGTGCCCACCTCTACCTCAGCACCCCTGCCCGCGTCCACCTCTACCTCAGCACCCCTGCCCGCGCCCACCTCTACCTCAGCACCCCTGCCTGCGCCCACCTCTACCTCAGCACCCCTGCCCACGCCCACCTCTACCTCAGCACCCCTGCCCACGCCCACCTCTACCTCAGCACCCCCGCCCGTGCCCACCTCTACCTCAGCACCCCTGCCCGCACCCACCTCTACCTCAGCACCCCTGCCCTTGCCCACCTCTACCTCAGCACCCCCGGCCCACGCCCACCTCTACCTCAGCACCCCCGGCCCGCCCACCTCTACCTCAGCACCCCTGCCCGTGCCCACCTCTACCTCAGCACCCCCCCCCCCCGTGCCCACCTCTACCTCAGCACCCCCGCCCGCCCACCTCTACCTCAGCACCCCTGCCCGCCCACCTCAGCCCCCCCGCCCACCTCTACCTCAGCACCCCGGCCCACTCTGCCCCCGCGCCCACCTCTACCTCAGCACCCCCGCCCTTGCCCACCTCTACCTCAGCACCCCTGCCCTTGCCCACCTCTACCTCAGCACCCCTGCCCGTGCCCACCTCTACCTCAGCACCCCTGCCCCGCGCCCACCTCTACCTCAGCACCCCCGGCCCGCGCCCACCTTACCTCAGCACTCCTGCCCAAGCCCACCTCCACCTCAGCACCCCCGGCCCGCGCCCACCTTACCTCAGCACCCCTGCCCAAGCCCACCTCTACCTCAGCACCCCTGCCCAAGCCCACCTCTACCTCAGCACCCCTGCCCGCACCCACCTCTACCTCAGCACCCCTGCCCGCGCCCACCTCTACCTCAGCACCCCCGGCCCGCGCCCACCTTACCTCAGCACCCCTGCCCGCGCCCACCTCTACCTCAGCACCCCCGGCCCGCGCCCACCTTACCTCAGCACCCCTGCCCGCGCCCACCTCTACCTCAGCACCCCTGCCCAAGCCCACCTCCACCTCAGCACCCCCGGCCCGCGCCCACCTTACCTCAGCACCCCGGCCCGCATCACCTTACCTCAGGATCCTCGTCCTCGCCAGTCGCTTCCGCCCGCGGTACCGGCCGGCACCCACCCTCAGGGCTATGAGTCCCGGTTGCTCCGCCGTGTGCCGGCCAGCACCGGGCAGCGGACACAGGCGCCCCTGGACCCCCGTCCGGCCCTCGAACAAGACCCCGGCCGCAGCTCCTCGGGCGCAGCGCGCCGGCCACACTCACCCTTTCACTACAAAGAAGGGGTCCTCCATGGACATGGCGTCTGCCCGGCCGCCTCGCCCTTGCGTGCCCGCTGGCTCCTGCAGCTGCCGCCCCAGGCCCAGGGCCTAGGCGGGGGCCGGCGACGGGGCACCCGAGCTGGGAGCAGACTGGGCCGGGGACCCGTCGGGGGCGCCGGACGCCGTGGGCCCAGTTCTTGGCGTCGCCAACAGCGGAAACCCACACTGGGCCGCAGCCTGACCCCGCCCCAGTCCCTCGGACACAGCCAGTCATAGCCGCACTCGTTCCCATGTGAGCGGGCCTGTCCCCGCCTCTCCCCGTCGGAGCCTGCGCACTGCGCCCTGGACCCGGAGGCGGAGTCCGGAAGTTGGGCGGGGCATGCCTAGGCGGGGCCTTGGTGTGGGGAGGGGCCTCGGTGTGGGGCGGGACTAGATGGTCAAGTGAATGCGGGGGCGGAACCCACAGTAGGCTCTGTAGGGTTTTGGAGCCCCGGAGACTGGAAGGGTTAGGATTAGTCATCCTTGGCTTCTGGCAGTGAGTATGAGCTTGACCTTCCCGCAAACTCATGCTGCACAGAGTGGCCCCGCGGACCCTCACGCCGCCTGCACCTTGGCTCCTCTCTACTCTTAGCTATGGCGTCATCCAGCCTCCTTCCCACTGCCTTCCTCAAGTTCTGACAACTCGATCTTCATTAAGAAGGCAATACACAGGGATCCTGAGTGCAGAAAGACTCCCAACCACAGCAGAGAAGCCTCTTTACCCTGGAAGGCCCCAGTAGGTAGCTCTGGGATGAGTTTACCATTTCCTAATCCCTCAAATAGGATGTCAGTAGTTTGGTTCTGCACCATCAAGCACACAACAAATCGAATAGCATCAACCCCCCCCCCTTTTTAAGGATTCATTTATTTGTTTTGGAAAAGCAGATCAGACTTACATATAGAAGGAGAGACAGAAAGATCTTTCATCTGATGGTTCACTCACCAAATGGCTAAAACAGCCAGAGTTGAGCCAATCTGAAACCAGGAACTTCTGAGTCTTCCATGCAGGTGCAAGGTCCCAAGGCTTAAAGTGGAAAAAACTGACCCCCGGGCCATTTGAAACTCTACTAGAGGCCAAATAATTGGCCTGCAAACACTGGCCCAGACGACCTCCAGCCCCACCTGCCTGGGGTCCTCTACCTGAGCTGAAACCACAGCCTGTGACTTCACCTCCTTTCATCTCCCCAGCCCCTTGAGCAGCTCCGGCTGCTGTTGTCCAGCTTGTCCTGGTGACAGTGCAGTCACAGTCTGGTGCTGGGGAACCCTGAGCCAGGTGAGCCGCGGCCGCTCGGGATGCTCCCTCCACCTGCCTCTTGGTCTCCTACTCCACAGGCATTTCTGCTCACCTCCTCTGTTTACATCCAGGTTCCCTCTTCTCCAACCTTGTGCTTCCACTGGTGGGGATGGGATTGGAGTTCTAGGACCTCGAACAGTGCAGGAACTCCATCATGGAAGGTCACGGATGCTTTCCCTCCTCAGCACAGCAAGCCAAAGCCGAACCTCTGGCCACCTCGGTGCTGTGCTCTTTACTGAGCATGGGAAACACTGACACGGGGCTAAGTCCCTTAGCCAGAATGGATTCTGGCTGAGCCGGAGTCCCAGGAAGCCAACCCCGATAGCCGCTGCAGCCTCTGGTCAACAGAGCTGTCTGAGCTTGCACCACCATTCTTGTCCTGCTTTCAGCCTTTGAGGACCAGCATGGCTGATGTGTGGGTGAAGAAAGGCTGGGGCACATGGGGGGGACTCTGGTGAGTTTCCTGATATAACCAAGCCAGCCCCCACTACCTCTCAGCTTCACAGGTGTGCACACTGTGTCCCTCAGGGATCGGACTTGAGGATGGATGGCCGGCCTGCACCTGCCAGCTAATCTGGAATGGCACCCTCAGGTCTGCAAATTTTCTGTTCAGGGACTACCTTGAGTCCTGAAAGCTGGTGGGAGGACATGTGTCTGCTGTATTCTGACCCCAGGCTGTTTGCACAAGTCTGTCAACAATGTGGGCACAGCAGCAGTTCCTGGAAGACAATGCTGCCCTCCAGGCCTCCCCCCTTGGTGTCCAAGCCTGAGGAACCAAATGCCTCTGCAGATTTCTCTCCCAACTGCTTGGAAGAGCTGTGTGTCCCCATCCAGCCTCTGTGCCCTGTCCAAGAACCAGAGGAAGGGCCACAGCAAGCATGCATGACTTTTACATGGGTCAGGGCATAAAGGACAGCCTGCTGGCCTCAAATTGAAGTGATGATGGGGAATGGTCAAAAGGTACACAGAGCAAGTTACATTTCATTGCAACTTCAATGAATCACTTGGAATAAAATCCACAAAGTGGGATTCTCTGTGAAATGAAGAAGGACCCCTGGGGATTGTGATCTGGGTTCCTGGCTCACAGGCCCTGCACTGCCTCCTCTGTTGCTCAGTCACAGGAAGCCTGCTGCCTTCTCAGCCCTGGTCAGCCTGGTTTGAGGCCATTCCTGGTTGACCCCCTGCTCTGAGAGGCTTCTCGTGGTCTGACAGACAACTCACTCCCTTCTCCTTGGTGTTCTTTGCAGATGTTCACTAGATGTTCTTTGCTAGATGTTCACTTCTTGCCAATTCTCCATTCACAATCCAGCTCAGAGAGCTAAGATTGCCAAGTATTATGGCAAGAAAATCCTCTAGAACAAGATACCACCAGCCTTCAGAAAAGCGAGGCCAGCACGGACGTTTGATTCAGTCAGGTTCCCAGGCAAGGGGACCATCAGTGCTCTTTGTCTCAGACTCAAGAGGTGAACAGTACCCAAGAGTTCTTCTTGCTGGAAACTTGACAGTTCCCCTGTGAAGCCTAGAACTCCCATGCATAGCTCCCATTGAGCTCTGTCAGGAGCCAGGGTCCAAGACAACCCTAAGTCGTTCTCCACCTGCAGTCTTAGACAGATGTCTGTGTAAGGGTCTCCTGTCTGGGAGACCACTCACCAGCCCAGGCCCCTCCTGTGTGGGTGCTGAAATCCATCACAATGTGTACTCAACTCTGTGCTCCTACTTTCCATGTAGTCGGTGCCCAAGGATATATCAGGAGTGGCTGGGGGTTTAGGGGGACAGTAAGGGCAGCTAGCTGGCTGTCAACTAGGCTCAGTCATGCCCCCATGCCAGTTGGAGAGCTCCGCCCACCGTCCACCCACCAGAAGCAGCATGGGGGTATGGGGGGCAGCTGGGGGAGCCAGAGGAGCAGCCCACCATATGGGTCAGTGACTGACAGCCCCAGCCAACCCCTAATAATTGGTAATTGACTTTCAGTCAAACTGCTTTTTCGAGAAGACCCTTGATTGGCGGCTCAACACGATTCTGGGCCAAGGGAGCCAGCCCATATCAACAGACCTTCCCTCACATGACACAGATCTGCACCAGTGGAGTGTACAGGTCTCTTTCATTTCTGGAAGCTGTGATCCCATGACTGACAGCCTATTTCCTGAGAGTGGAACCACTTCCATGGTGATGGTGGTGAGAGGTCAGGTGGTATGAGAGCTGAGGGGGGTGGGTTGGGTGGCATGAGAGCTGGGAGTGTTTGGGTGGTATGAGAGCTGGGTATGGTTGGTGGTGTGAAAGCTGGATGGGGGTAAGGGGGTGTTGGGTAGTGTGAGAGCTGAGTGGGAGCATTCTCTCGGCTGCACCTTCCAGGAGAATCACAGGATCTCTCCCAGTGGTCTGTGTCATGTTTAGTGCTGAAACTCATTTTCTGTCCCTTAGTGTTCCACCTCAGGAGGAGACAGGAAGCGCTGTGCTGGACAGTGCTGCCCTCCCACTTCTTGGAGCCACAGGTGGGAGGGTAGGGTGTGGTGGAGTGGGCATTCTGGGTGGTGCTGTGTGACCTGGGCTCAGCATCACGTGGCAGACACACAGTAGTAAGGTCACACTTGGAGAAGCCTGGGATGTCACTGGAAGCTCAGACTTGGTGCAATGGACTCGCTGCTTGTGTCTATGGATGGTAATCCAAGTGCCAATGAGTGCTTGAGAGCGGTTGCTGGACTGAGGAAAGCGGAGTCGTGTGCACGGTTTCCAGGAAGCATGGGAATGAGACTAGGAGGTTCAAGTTCTCAACAACCCTGAGTCGCAAAGATTGTGGCTCGCTTTCCCTTGACAAGGAAATTATTTCAAAGACTGACAGCTAAATCCGAGCACACTGCCTAGATATGCACCCCTACTAGCTTTTGGGGAACACAGTTCAGCTCATCACACACCTACTGACCCATCTAGCTCCCATCACTGTCCCCTGCATCCACTGACCCATCTGGCTCCTCTTGACCCCATGAAACTTCTCCATTCTACTATCCAGCAACCAAAAAGCCAACACATTATATGAATGTCTTTCACAATGGAGAGTGACAAATTCTCCATTTGTGTTCTGTGAGAGTGTTAGTTCAGTGAAATGTTTGGAATTCGGGTGGTTTGGGGTGGAGAGGCTTTGGGGTGTTTTCTATAGATCTGAATGCTGATTTTCTCCTCTTTTATTTTTAATATTTATTTTTATTGAAAAGGCAGATTTACAGAGAGAAGAGACAGAGAGAAAGATCTTCCACCCACTGGTTCACTCCCCAAATGGCCGCAATGGCCAGAGCTGAGCCGATTAGAAACCAGGAGTCAAGAGCCTTTTCTGGTTCTCCCATGTGGGTGCAGAGACCCAAGGTTATGGACCATCCTCTATTTTCCTAGGCCATAAGCAGGGAACTGAATAGGAAATGGAGCAGCCTGGACACAAAGTATCATCTGTATGGGTTCCTGGCACTTGCAAAGGGAACACTAACCAGTTGAGCCATTGCACAGCACCTGAGTTTCTCCTGACCCAACTTGGCCCCTAACCCTAACCCACCCCAAACCCCATCTGTGCAAGGCAAGGCATATCCCCACAGAGAAAGAAGGTGCTTATTGATTCATTTGCCCAACAGCATCAGTGCCACCTTGGGTTCTCAGTGGAATGCTCAAGTTTGCCAAGGATGTTGCCAGGCACCTCAGACCTGGACCAGAGTCCTCTGCCTTCCTGTGGCATCTTTTATGGCATCTGGTGGATCTAGGGCAGACGAACACAGATTGCAGCTGCTCACATTGACC